ATTATACTACTAAAGTGTCGGATTTTACTTTTACTTTTATTTCTAATATATAGATCTTGGTGTAATTATATTTTCGAGCTATTATTGAAGAGATATAGGAACATTATCATTTTGTGTCTCTGTGTGCTCTTAGAAGGAGCCACAGATTATTTGTCTGTCATGGTGCTGAGCTGGGTCAGTATATAGAGTACCATGCAAAAGAAGAGAAGGATATGCTGGGCCATTTTAGCATGGCTTTACAGTCCCAGGATGAGAATTAACCCACTAACTTCTAACAGAATGGGGATCTGTTGTTTATTTAAAAAGAAAATCCCAAATTTTTTGATTTTACCAATGAAGACTGAGGAGCCAGATGCTGGGGTAAAATCTGCTACCTTAGAGAGGCAGAGAAAGTACATAGCTGACCTTCCTAGTCAGCTCATGCCCTAAAGGAAAAAAGCCCAAAACTGAAAGCTAAAAACTGGAAGTTCAAAGCTAAAATCCCCCAAAGCCAAAAGGCCAAAAGCCAAAAGCCCAAGGCCAAAAGCTTGCTAGCTTACCCCACAGCCCAGGAGGAAAAAAGCTAAAAGCCAAAAAAAAAAAAAAAAAAAAAAAAAAAAAAAAAAAAAAAAAAAAAAAAGAAAAAGAAAAAAAGCGTCTTCATTTTCTCCACCTCTCTTAAATACCCTTTGACTCAATGTTCTTTTCTTTTTACTCCCTGTCATCTGGTTTCTTGCTTTGCCTCTTGACCTACTGTTAAGTTTATTAAATCCTGTGTACAGAAAGCTCTTGGATTAAAGGTGTGTGTTAGGGCTGAATCACACCAAACAAGAAACAGGGTTTTACAGTTCACAGCCTTGGGGTTCACAAGGGGATCAAATATCTTGCAATAGGGATATCATGTTGTCTGTTCTTAGAATGTCTGTCTGTGGCCAAAATGCCATTTCAACCCAGCTTTATTGGCTTTGATTCTGGACCTTGTTCACAGAATGTATAATACTGAATGCTCACTAGAAGACACTGTATATCATCAGTGAATGTTCCAAAAAATGTCAGAGGTGAGGATTTCGAAGGTTTCATCATAAAGATAATAAAATAATTTCCTAATTTGGTTTACATACACTGCAACCCTGTGAATCTGTATAATCATGAATTAGAAATAAAACTAAAATTAGCCTGTGGCACAAAAATTTAAACATAAAAACTGCTGGATAGATGCAATTTTTTTGGGAAGTTAATGACATACTTTTTCAGCTTTTCAGAATGTTATTATATCCAATTTGTGAAAAATGAATATGTAGAAATCGCTTTTGTTTCAAAACCAAAGAAATTGGCATATTGGATATTCAGCATCAGTGGCCTGTTTGTAAGTACCCAGGGCTTCACTTTTGCCCCTTGCCTCTGCTGGGCCTTACTCTCTAGCGTTAATCAGGCTGATTCACTGCTGTTAGGACTAAAGCCTTTGAAGTATCAAGTGCTTCTAAAGAATGCTTGTTTAGTGTTAATTTCTTATCGACAGTCCAGCATTTTCCTATCTCAGGTTTCCTCTAAATCAACTGATAGGAGTAGGATGTCCTCAAGGCCACACAGAATGAAGCTGCAACCCTTTCTAAACCGAGGGCTTACTTTGTTTTGATTTTTAGTTATACTTGCTTTTGTAAGCATTTTCTTTTCCAACTTCATTATTCAATTTCTATAACTTTCTACAAAAGTGTATTTCACTTTATTTCTTTGCTTGCTAGTAAATTGACACATATCCAACATATATGTAACACGGTCAAGAGAAACTAGGCCTGGTGGTACAGGCCAATAATGCTAGCTACTTAGTAGCTGAGGCAGGATTGAAAACTCAGGGCCATCCTGGGTTACAAAGAGTTCATGGCCAATGGGAGGAACACATTGAGACTCTGTATAGAAAAAGTAACAAGAAGTCCAGAGACAAAGTTCACTAGTGTAGCTGTTTCCTAGCAGGCACAAGGGCTAGGTTCATTCCTAGTACCATCAAGAAATTTCAAAGCCTACAGTCTGTCCTGAACACCTGTTAGCTCTCCAGTGACCAGAGCGATGCACCCGTAATTATAGAAGAAGAATGTGCAACATTAATTTTTTTTAAATAGTTTAATTTTCAACACAAGGGATTTGCTCTTAGTTCATCAGAGTATTTTCCTGAGGTCTCCTGGGAAATGGCTTACTGCTCCTGCAGGAAACACTGAGTATCCACTCTGAGCCACATACTAGTCCAGTATTCGGGGGCACTATGGAGACACTGTTGAACACATGAAATTCCTGACTTCATAAAGCTTGCATTCTACTAGAAGACAGAAAGAAAGGAGAACTAGCGAGCATAACTGCTATGAAAAGGAGAGCAGGGCACAGAAGATTGTAGGCGAAAGGGCGACACTTTAAATGGGAGGCAGGGGTCGGCTTCCTTGCTGGTATCTGGTAAAGATTCTTCGGAGTAGAGCCAATTGTCCTAGTTATTACTGTCTAATTGTGCTAATTATTGTCAGGGCAGGTAGGGTGTCTACTTATTATAGGAACAGGATGTAGGCCTGTCTGTGTAGCTAGGACAAACTGCCTAGTAGAAATAAGTTGTCTGGATGGGTTGGGAGGGGTGTGTGTGTGTTTTGGAAAGCCAGTCATCATGGGATTTTTTTTTGGTCATACTTAAGAGATTCTGGCTGGGAATGTGATTGGAAGGGCTATGAATCTTGATTTGTTACCAGTCTTACCAGGCTGTGAGCACTAAAGGCACTCCCACAGCAAAGGACTGCGTGCAGACCTTGCCTCTGCCTACATTCAAACTTTCACTCCTCTCCTCTCTCACACAGGGTCTCCTTTAGCCCGGGATGGCCTTGAACTTGTTTCACTTCTTTATTTTTATAAAACCCTGAAAAGTCTCCAGGCTCCACTGTCCAAGAGCTGGGATTACAGGCATTTGTTACTATACTTGACTTATGTGGTATTGATGATTTAACCCAGGGTTCTGTCCACGTTCAGGAAGGTCTCCTAATCTGTCACCTTTAAAAAAGTGAAGATATCCTCCTTCTACAGAGGGACAATGATGGAAAAAATTGAACTGAATACTCAGGTCGGCCACCTAAATTAGTTTTAACCCAACAGTCGGTGTTTTAAACATTAATGAGCCTCTGCACTCTTATTTACAGGTTGGAACAGTATCTCCTTCCAGGCTCCTTGCCTCTTCTCTTGCTTTCTCTTAGTTTCAGTGCAGTCTGTGTTTTTCAAACTTGTTTCCTCTATACATTAGTCTACTAACACTACAATCATATTTATCGTATTGCAAAAGCTAAAATGCTCTAGTTCCAGCAAAGGAGAAATTAGATATGAGTTGCAGAGTAAAAACAACAACAACAAAAAACTACTTTGCTACAATTCTTTGAATAGAACAGTTAGGGTTTTTTTTTTTTTTTCTTGAAAATCTTCATGATAGCGTAAATCAAAATCAAATTTTCCTTGGGTGGACACAACAGAATAGAGATAATACAGGGTTTGTAACGCATTTGCTTTATTCGCTGTTATGAGAATTTACGAGTACATCCTTAAATTACATTTAGCACAACAGTGCCATTGTTAAGTGCCAAGATAAGTGCCAGCTTCCAGCTTTATTTTCCCACAATCCCTTGTATAAAGCTTTTTTTTTTTTTTTTTTTTTTGTAAGAATGCGATGCAAGTGTCTTATTTTTCAAGTCTAAACTGTTCTCAGTTTCTCTGCAATTAGGTTTGTAACAGCAGAGGCTTTTCAGGAAAACCACACCGGCAACTCAGGAAGAAGCGGGTGATTTTGCTATCATTCCCGTGGAGGTGTAGTTGTCAGCAGTTCTAGTCACAGAATTTAAGCGTTCAGGTTCATTTGACTGGGATCTACTTACAGAGACATTTGGTGACATGCGTTCACTCCGGTATATAAACGCATTACATTATAAAAAGAAAATCCCAATAGAGGTCTGGAGACCGCAGCCACGGGTCAAAAGCTGCTTTATTTCTAAGGGTCGCGTGTGGATGGAACTGCAAGGCGTCCAGCTCAGGCAGGTACTGGCCAACCAGCGAAGCAGCAGCCCTTAACTGGGCCCGGATCCGGGCGAAGGCGATCCGCCCGGCTCATGTCTACAACCTGTCGCGCGCCCAGCCCGGGACGCCCCGAGCGCCGGGAGCGACCGAGGCAAGTTTCGGCCGAAGTTTCGGAGGGAGGCGCCGCGGCGGGCCGGGCAGCTTCGGGTCCTGGCGGCGCGCGCAGCCGAGCGTCCCCGGCACCCGGGGGTCTCCACCAGGGCGGCGAGATGCGCGAGGACGCAATCCCCGCGAGCGCGCGGCCTCCGCGGCGCCTCCCGCGCGCGCCCCGCCGTCCGCCG